ATTGCATATCTTGTAGTAACTAATAGTGAACCTTTGTGATGGATTTGACATCTAATCAGCATCTATCATCGGCACACGTCACGTTTCGGGTTCACTAGGGTGATTCGGGATGGGTCGTGTTATCTATAGATAGCAGCATCACCTTTCTCCTTCCATTCTCTTTCATCTATCTTTCATTGACCACAAGAGGCATATCTATTGGTTTACAACCAAACATTATGAACTTTTTCAGAATTTTTTTAGTATATCCTTTCTGAAAAATAAACTATACTTCTTCATCTTGATAAACTTCAATTCCCAAAAAATTACATAGCTTCCCCAAGTCATTCATTTTATACTTCATCATTATTTCCATTTTAAAACTCTCCATCATTTCAGCTTTGCTATTTGTTATCACCAAATCATCAACGTAAAGTGCCACAATAAGAATATAACCAATACCTTGCCATGCTCTAGGTGCTTATTTCAGCCCATAGAGCACATTCTTTAGTTTGTACACATTTTCTTCATAACCTTGAATGATAAATCCTAAAGGTTGCTCAACATACACATCTTCTTTTAATTCTCCATTTAGAAGAGTTGACTTCACATCAAGTTGATATAACAATCAACCTATTTGAGCAACTAAAGAAATAAGAGCTCTCACTATATCAAGTCGAGCTACCGGTGCAAAATGTTTCTTGATAATCAATACGAGGATGTTGTAGGTAGCATTTTGCAACCAACCTTGCTTTATTTCTTTGCATAGAACTATCTAAGTAATATTTCACCTTGTAAATCCACTTTACACCTTAACTTCTTTGTCTTCAGGTCTATCAACAAGCTCCCATGTGTTGTTCTTTTCAATTACATCAATTTCTTCTTCCATGGCTTTCTTCCAAGTCTCTTCTTTTGATACTTCTTCAAAATTTTCAAGCCCACCATGCAAAAATTACATCTTGCATAAATTTCATCTAAATTTATCAATCTTACTGGAGTTGAGCTTGGCGATGAACTTGATGATGATGAGCTAGATCTTGGATTTGATGATGTTGAACTTCGATTTGAAGGTGTTTAAAGAGAGAGATTTTCAAAATTATGAGCTTCCCGAGTTGCATTTTGCCGTGAAATAGTTATTGGAACATATTACTTTTCTTCTTTACCTTGCTTCCAATTCCATTTAGCCTTTTGGCTATTGATGACATTGTTGGCTTTCAAACTGTATAGTCCATAGCCTTTTGACATAGAACTGTAACCAACAAATATGCATTTTTCACTTGCTTCATCCAGCTTGTATCTTTTGTCCTTCGATATTTGAGCATATCTAATACTCTAAGATGCTTAACTGATGGCTTTCTTCCAACTCCCACTACAAGCTTCAAAAGGTGTTTTGTTCCGTACAGCCTTTGTTGGACACCTGTTGATTATATACATTGCTTTATATACGGCTTCTGCCAAAAAACTTTCTGGTAGTCCTCCATCGCGCAACATTTATTTTGCCATTTCCATCACCATTTGATTTTTTCTTCCGGATACTTCATTTTTCTGTGTAATATAACCAACTATAAGCTGTCTATCCTTGCTTTCATCTTCACAGTTTTCTGAACTGATTGGAATGTACTCTTTTCCTCTGTCACTTCTCAAAATTTTGATTGACCGGCCACTTTGCTTCTCAACAAGGCATTTAAACCTCTTGAAGACTTCAAAAACTTCCAATTTTTGTCTCAAAAAAATAAACCCAAGTCATATGACTGTAATCATCAATAAAGAGAATAAAGTACTTATTATTGGAATGAGATGGAGTATGCATGGGGCCCTACATCAGTGTGCACCAACTTCAAAACTTCTTTTGCTCTCCAAGCTGCTCCTTTAGGAAATGATTGTCTATGATGCTATGCTTTCCAAGAGATAACCTTCACAAACTTCGTTCTTCACTTCAATGTTAGAATGTCCTTGCACCATATTTTTCCTTTGCAACAACTTGAGGCTTTCAAAATTCAAGTGCCCTAATCTCTTGTGCCATCAATCACAGTAGCTTTTAAGCTGACAACAACTTTTGTGTACTTCAATGTAAACAATATCAAGGCAGAGAGAAAAACATGAAGGAGAGAAAATTCATATATGTATCTCACACGTTCAACCTTTGAATTTACACTATTTATATACAAGATGCAAAACTGAAAATACAGCTAAACCAATAGAAAAATGACAACTCATCAAGCTATTTAACAAACTAACTACTTGGAATATTAAATAACTAACTAACTGGAGCTGAAAGCTGACTTCCCATTTTGTACATCCCCTCCTCAAGGTGGAGCATGTAAATCAATCATGCCCAACTTGGACAGAAGCTTAAAAAACTGGGGGCTGGCCAAGGCTTTTGTGAAAATATCCGCAAGTTGTTGATGAGTGGAGACGTGTTGTGGAAGAATGAAACCAGCCTTGTACTGATCACGAACTAGATGGCAGTCGATTTCTAAGTGTTTTGTACGCTCGTGGAAGACGGGGTTCTTAACAATGTGCAAAGCAGCTTGATTATCACACCATAGGTTAATAGGAAACGGAATTGAAAGATGGAAATCTCGAAGGATATAAGAACACCGTTGAAGTTCACAGACAACTGATGCTAAGCTTCTATATTCAGCCTCTGCTGATGAACGTGACACTGTAGTTTGCTTTTTTGTCTTCCAGGAGATTAATGCTGATCCAAGAAATACACAATAACCTGTGAGTGATCTACGAGTGGTTAAGCAGGCTGCCCAGTCGGCATCACAGTAGGCTTCAAGCTTCATTTCATTTTTCACTGGATAAAATAGTCCTTTCGAAGGACTGTCCTTCAAGTATCGAAGAAGATACATTGCTGCTGACCAATGTTGTTCACAAGGAGCATTAACATATTGACTTAACTGTTGAACACAATAAGTAATATCCGGTCTTGTAAAATTGAGGTAAAGGAGTCTTCCCACTAATCGCCTGTACTTATCAGGATGAGAGAGCAATGGTCCGGCTGATTCTGAAAATTTTGTTCCTTTTGGTATTGGTGTAGGGGCAGGTTTAGCACCCATCAAACCTGCATCTTTAATCAAGTCCAATGTGTATTTGCGTTGATTCAAGTATGTCCCTTCTGTACTTCTTGCAATTTCAATACCAAGGAAGTATTTGGCTATATCCAAATCCTTAATGGTGAACGTTCGATCAAGATATTCTTTAACTGCTCTTATCCCATTTTCATCATTTCCAGTCACCAAAACATCATCTACATACACTATTAAAGCAAGAAACAAAGTATCCTTTTTATGAATGAATAGGCAGTGATCATGTGAGGATTGATGAAAACCAAAATGTTTTATTTTGGAACAAAATTCCGAGTTCCATTGTCGCGATGCCTGTTTAAGTCCGTATAAGGACTTCCTTAGTTTACACACTTCTCCATTTTCCGCCTTTGAATATCCTTCTGGGGGAATCAAATAGACTTCTTCATCAATAAAACCATGTAAAAATGCATTGTTTATATCAAGTTGATGAATAGGCCAAGAATTCATAGTAGCAAATGCAATGAACAGCCTAACAGTCACAATTTTAGCTACTGGAGAAAAGCTTTCTGAATAATCGACTCCTTCCTTTTGGTGATACCCCTTAGCCACTAACCGGGCTTTATGTCTTTCTATAGTTCCATTGGATTTACTTTAACTTTGTAAACCCATTTACATCCAATTGGTTTCTTCCCAGCAGGTAATG